CAATTGGGTATGACCCGGTGGCAGTTAATGGCAATAATTGCAAAAATGAGAGGAGCTTTTAAAAACAATCGTAGAAAACCGATCTTTAGGAATAAGTACGTTGCGCTTGCAAAAAATACTGAAAAGTAATTTCTGATGCACTGAATTTTTAAACAGATTGGCAATACGACGTTTAAATAGAAAAGTGTTAAGGCTAGCATAATAGCAGAACCAGCGCACAGCATTGCTGACATGTAAAGTATTAAAAAATACTACAAGGAATATCAAGAAAAGAAAAAAAGAAATTGCTCATTAATTATTTTTCAAGGAAACATGTTGGAAGACAGGGACGAAATAAAAAATTGGTCAAGCTTTTACGAATATGTCGCAGACGCGCGGGGGAATAAGGAAGAAATTCAGGAAATTCGAGTCGCAGAATAACGAGCCACTGCACGGCGACCAGCAATAGCAAATGCGTTCAAACGCTATTTCGCTATCGTATTGCAAACCAGAAAACGGGCTCGGAGCAAGTTTCATTTCATTCTTCCAGTAGAAAACCAATTCAAACTGCCCACGCATGGAACTCCGCAATCGTTATAAAATCACTGGCAAAACGGGGAAATCACGCGAGTGGCCCAGACGTATCTCGACAGAGTTATTAAAAATCCGGTCGTGAGGTCGATATTGCTCCTATTTGTGGAAGATTTATTCAATATTTCATGTGAAGAATTGCAAGTGGTTTTCTAACCAGAAACAGATATGAGAAAAATCTGAGCTTATAGTGGTTCCAATTTTCAAAAATGTTGATAAAAATACGAAAGTATTAATTATAGACCTGTATCCCTCACATCAAGTTAGTATGCAAAATAGATGGACCCATTTAATAGCTGAGTACATTCGTCGCGCAATGGGAGAAGCGCGCCACTCGATTTTCCACGGACAGCATGGGTTTAGAAAGTGAACATTTCGTGCGACGAAAGTCAAAATTGAGTTCTCTTTTCAAGATCTAGCTGACGTACCGTTCCCGACGCGGGTGGGGAGGGTGGACCCTGCAGTGAGTATCGACTTCGCCGAAAGGCATTCGACGTGAAGGTACCGCATAAATTTACTTATAGGAAAGTAATTAACCTCAGAAAATTGCAGCTAGGAGTTGTGAGGTGATAAGCGAATTTCTTAGGGACAGGAAACAAAAAAAAGATTTACGAATTGCGCAACAGTTTTCGACTACGGGGAATGCCCTTTACTTTCAGTGGCGTTCCACAGGGAAGTGTGTTAGGGCCATTTTACTCTTCTTAGTCGGTATGTAAAAAACGATCTCCATGTAAACATTACAATTCAAGATGTGCGTATTATTGTTAGCAGACTGATTTTTACTATGACCGAAAGAATCGAAGATGATTAGCGCTGAACGAAGCAAAATATCGGTACAGCGCAAATTTAGCAGAGGCATTTACTTTCGATTGCGCGACCCGTGCGTGAAAAAAAAATACATGAAGTTCGGGAAATTATGTGGATTCTGATCAAAGCACAACGCCATGAACGTTCGCGATGAGGGTGGATCG